GTGTGTGTGTGTGTGTTTGTTTCTGTGCATGCGTGCATGTGTGCATGGGTGTGTGTGTGTGTGTGTGTGTGTGTGTGTGTGTGTGTGCGTGCGTGTGTGTGTGTGCGTGTGCGCGTGCGCGCGTGCGTATGCCACGCTCAGCCAAAAACACCTACATCACAGATTTTCCAAATACAGTGTACTTATACATGTAGTGGGATGTTGTGTAATACATTGTAGTCTAGATCCTCCCCCTCCTCCCTTGCTTGAACCTTTTCCTATTAGTTAACAACACTAAACCGTCCTATCAGACTTGCTCCTTCTTTGCTATCAAACGTCTATCGTCCTTATCTCTTCTCTTTCTTTTCTTTGTAGGCTACATTACCCTCTGGTAACACCTCTAATCTTCGGCACTTATATGACACAATTGTGTTGCAAGTGCCGTAATAAGCTCAACTTCCCGGGAAGCATACAGTGCAAGCAGCAATTTACAGGCGTTAAAACACTAATATACTGACAAGATCTTTTGCAGTGCTAAAACTCAACCGTAAACTAAGCAGCTATGTTCCTGTAGCTCTTCTCCTTTTTCCGTTCTCAGACCTATGACCCCAGAACAAGACGCCCGGCTGGACGCCACACTCCAGTCCACCCAACAGAGGGTAAACGGCAAACGGAAACATAGGTTTAACCGGCTGCACAGTGCGTTCGGTTCCAATGGCTTCTTCAAGGACTTCTTCAACTCAGCCTTCAGCGGAGACTCTGGCAAGAAATGATCCATTATATCTATGATTGTAAGGGTCTAATATCATATTACTTCGCACTTTGTTCTTTTTTTTTGACCGCAGATAACAGCGTGACTTTAACAGGCATGTCTGATTTTTTGGTAATAACATAAGGTTGTTTATCGATAAACCACACAGAAAAATTCACCTAATAATAACAATAACAATAAAAACAAACAAACAAACAAAACCCCCACCAAAAAACTGCTCAGTATGGATGCATGCTATGTGGTGTACAACAGCTTTGCTAACGTTGTCGTTACTTCAACTTGCATGTGTGAAGTTTGGCCTTAATAAAAGCGGTTCTACCACAGGAGAAGTGTTGGGTCTATGTGCATGGGGTGCAAATAACCCAATTCAGCTATTCCGGGAATTTTCAGCTTGTTTTCTTCTTTCCTTTTCAGCTGAGTTGCGTTTTTAAATTCAGTGTCCATACTAACATCGTGACTAATACACGAATAGCTGATACATGTACAAGCAGTCTGTGCAGTGTCAGGAGGTTTCGGCCTTTTTGTAGATACAGGGTCGGCAAGATGATTCGAAGTTTTCCATTTCCCCACCTTTCCTGTTCATAATATCCCATGAAGGCTGAACACTGGTTTAAGAACCCGTAATCAGCAGACAAAAAAAGGCGGCTTCTTTGGCAGACCTGGTTCGGGGGCTCTTCTGGCCTAGAGGTTAAGGTGTTTGCCTCTCATTCTAAGGTCTCGAGTTCGAAACCGGGTAGCGATCTGAACAATTTCTTCTCTAAAATTGTCTCTTTTCACTCCATTTCTTGCTCTCTAGCAATGTTCTGTTGTCTGCTTTCGTCTCCACTTTCTGCCCCCACCCCCTCACCTCCTTTGCCCCTCCTCTGGGCTCCTGGCTCTTTCTGCACCCTTTCTGCTGCTACTCCTTGGCTCCTTCTTGCTGCTGTCTTTCAGCCACACCCCTTATCTTCTGGTAGAAAAGATCTACACCTAGCCTTTTCGAACAAGGGCGAAAAAAATTCGGAGGTCTCGTGTGCAAGTTGCGCACGTTAAAGATCCCCTGGTGGTCTAAAATCGATAAGAGTAGGCTTCGCCGCCACCAGGGCAAAATTCGAAATTTCCTACAAACTGAAAATGTTTGATGTGTCCCGCGCGTTCATATGGCCTTATGCAGTTGTGAGCGCCGTAAAACACTCC